GTGCTTGAAAAACCCTCCGCAAGCTATACTCTCCTTTTCCCTAAAGCACACATCTGAGTATGACGTTGCACTTTCGGTTTCTCTGCCACATGGAACACTGAAACTCAGCAGCAGTGAATCAGTTTTTTTGGAATTCATCCAGAACTCAGTGTAAATTACATATTTTCATTTGTTGTCTGTTACCTAATATCTCAAGATCTAAATGTCATGATTTAACCACAGGGTATTTTAACACCTATTTAAACCAACATGTTTTCCCACCCATCCCTGCAGTTTCCTTTCTATAAAATGGAAATCTGCCTTCTCTGAAAGCATCACATGATGCCAAGTTGCTCCTGGTGAAAAAGCCAAAATGGCCACATGATGCCTTTTAGTGTTTTAACTTCCAAGAGACACTGCTTCATAATGTGAGGAATAAACTGGGGATCTATGTAATCAGAGTCAGCAGCCTTTTGATGTAAGATACAAAACAATGTCTCGCTTATTCTTAAAGAATCACAAGGTCTTGTGACATTTTTTTTTCTGGCAAATTTGAAACACATCATGCATCTTTTTGGATATTTGATTTTCACTGTAAAACCAGAGTCATCCAGCTCAGCCATGACTTCCATTTACTCCTGTGTGCAGTGGGTAAGCAGCTCTACTGAGGTTAAACAGTCAAAAGATTGCAAAACTGTCATTAGTCATTGTTTTCTGTCTACTTCCAACCACTTCCTTCCACTCTTTGTTTTCCTGCAGAGTTTAATGAGCTCATCAGTCTTTATACACTGTAACCCTGTACAAACATTTCCACCTGAGAACTTGTGTTGATCTCATATTTATTTACATGAATGCAGTGAAAGATTATGATAGTCAAGAGACAATTGTAAAGAGAAGAAAACATCATAAATCCTGATAGAGCAAGAAATTATGCTGCATCATACCAGCCATGTAGAACAACTACAGTCAGCAGCAACTTCTGCCTCCAGAGCATCCTGCAGAGTGACTGGATCGAAGGCTGCTACATGATTCCTGCCAGAAGACATCCATTTACAGTCATTTTTAAGTGCACAGTGCAACAATCTAGAGTATGTCTCTCTGCTCTATGATGGTTACATCACAGACTCTCAGGTAGGAGCTCTAATTAGAGCTTGTTTCTGTCAAAACAAAAGAATCACTGAGCTGAGGAGCTTGCCAAACTTTAACACGCAGTCCATCTCCTCCTCTTATTTACTAAAGGGATAATTACAACATGGGTGATGGAAGAGAGGGATTAGTGAACATGAGTTCATGCTCACAGCAGAACTACCAGTGAGGAGCAGGAATACAATCCCAGTGCAGCCAAACTCTTAATTAACAGGGGATACTGTGTGTTGTATGTCCACTGCATCAGACTGGGCCACCCTGCAAGTGTCTGACGCGTCAACGGATCTGCTCGAGATAATCTTCTGTGCCAAAGTCAAGAGTACTGTTTATGGCAGCTGGTAGTAACAGAGTCTAATTTGTTATAAGCAGACTGTGGGTGGCAGCCATCCTTTACAGTCTGAAAGGTAAGTCGTTTTAAACGTAGCCTGTATCTGTCGACGGGCTGCGGTAATCTTCCTGAAGCAGATTTACCTCTGAGTCCAATGAGGAGTGTCCCTCTGAAAGCATTTTGAGATGCATTAGCATGGCAATGGTGACGAGCTTGCAGACGGCAGCAGTGAAAGCTGCCTAACTGCCTGTATTTACACAGAAATAGGTTTTTAACAAGGACATTTGCATTTTAAATGCCAAGCAATTAGGTGGACCACAGGTATGCAGTGACACAACATCTTGTCCACATACCTGATAAGTGAGGACAGATGTGTGTCGGGAGGAGTATGAAGTGGTGGTCAAACCCATGAAGACGCTGCATGTTTGTGAATGGAGCAGGAGTGAAACAAAAGGTGAAATAGAAAGAAGAAAATAAACTCTCTGTCCTTCAAAGTCACACCAGAAAATTGAGCTCCCTTTGAAAATTTCTTTTCCTCCATCATATGGCAATAACGCTGGTCAGTGAGTGCAACTACAACATGAATTTAACAATATTCAGCAACAGTAAAGTATGTGGGCTGTAATAGATGACGTAATTACTCTTGAATCACACAATAAGAACACATTTATTAACACTGTTTCGCCAAAGTTAATTTTTCTTCACCAGGCCTGTACTCTGTAGCTACACAGTATCACTGAAATACTTGGACTATAATTTGTTTCTCTTTTCATCTAAATATCACATTATTGCTGCCTTGTTCCCCACAGTTTTATTCCACCATACCTGCGTTTAGTCCCTTAAGCCCAAAGCTATTTTTCAAATGTCTGCCTAAAAAAAACTACGATGAAAATGAATGATGATGGGCTCGATGAATAAGAGACTGTTTTGAGAATTTTCTCATTGCGAAGCCAGAGTGAGATGTCTAAACATTTTCTTCCATCTTATCAACATTGTAAATTAAAGAAAACAGTCAATAAACATTTTGAACCTGTGTGATAAAATCTCAACTCTGATTCTACCAAATTTCATGCAACAGAAATGATGCCCAATGATCTATTTCATCCGTAGTAGTACTAAGAAGCCTCCGCAGTGACCGTCCTGTGCTTTTTAACCTTTGAAAGCTGGCAGAGGTTGTGTTTTTATAGCAGATACAGCCTGCAGATATAATACAGTAATCCTCAATGGAAAACAACTGGGCACAAGCAGGAACCAGTGAGGGCTATACTGGTACCTGATGCAACAAAATTATACTGTAAATTGCAGGCTGTATCACCAAGTATTACCAAAGTGTGCTTTGTGTGGTGGAAGTGATAAAATAGGTCTACGGTATATATGGTTAGAGACCTACATAATGACCAGTTAGATAAACCGAGCCACTGTGGGCTGCCACGACCAGAAGACAGCATGAAAGAAACTGCTGCCAGAGTTCATCGAGTGTAAAACGAATCACGGTTTATCCATAAACACAGATACATTGTAAAGGCAAACTTAGCAGTATGCTTCATTCAGATCACACACAGCATTGTTACTTTGCACGTGGATCAACATGGAAAGTTTCCAAGTGCTTTGTGAAACAGCACATTGATGATTCAGTGACATGTCCAGCAACGCTATGTTGAGTTTATTTGTTTTCAGCCTGCATCATTAATTCCAACAAAGATGTGGATCAGATACTCTTTATGATGTTGAAATGGTAATGAAGAATCATACATGTGCTACTTTCTAATAATTGAATTAATCTTGGCTCACTTGCATTAAAGCTGCCATGTTTTGTCTTTAGCAAACAAGTTTCAATTGCACATCAGTGTTCAACTAAGCTGTTATTAGCATATTTGCTTGTTAGCTTGGATGCATGGAGCATTTTCCCTCTGAGCATTCTCTTCACTGACCCTGTTCTTACCCACAAGTTGTTGCATCACACTGTTCTCAGACATTTTCTTTCTTGGAAGTCATGCAGAAATTTCTTTGCAATAAAGAGCAGCCTGATCAGATGATGTCTGCAGTCATTAAATCACTGAATCTTCTAACTGCATGTTTGTTACTGTTGGATTTTCCCACCATTGATGATGCTTCACATGTTTTAGTATACAAAGATGCTTCTTCTTTCACACATCCACAATGGAGTGTGTTCTGGATAACACACGCTGTTGAGTTTGAGTAATGGGTTGGAGCTTTTGCATCCTGTGTCCTCTCCTCTCATCCCCTTTTCCCCTTAATGATTCTCAGTCAGCTGGTAAAGGTGATGTATTGATGCAGTCGTCCAACTGCAGGCCGCTGGGAGTTTAAATGTGCTTAAAAGGAAAGTAGAGTCGGCGGAAAGTCAAAAAAGGTGAACACTCATATGATTTGTTTGAAGTTCTCTTTGCAAAGATGCTCTATTTCACCATCATGGACTTGCAAACTTTTCCATCCTATGAATAACTGTTTGCTGATAAGAGTTCATTACATCCCAGCTGAGCAGTGCGCCTCAGTGACCCTCCACCAGGAGACCTTGATAAACAAGCCAAGACAAATGACACCCAGTTAGAACTATCTCTCTTTTCTAACCTCCCATGTCCTTGATATCAGACATGATTGGTGAGGCCGGCTGCAGCAGGGAGCATGGGAAATCCCTTTTGGGAAAATTCTTTATCTTTATATTGTCTGGTGATGTTTCTCCCCTGAATTGATGAACAAAGTGAATTTGTAAAGGCAAAGGTGAAGTGATCATTAGCTTATCTTGGTGCATGTGCCACTCCTCTCTATCAGCGGCTTTAACTTTCTCTGCCGAGCCCAGAATTAATTGTACCATTAACCAATGTGTGTGCATGAGCTGGTGCAACCACAGTTAAGAGCAGAGAGCAGGTTAAATGAGGCAGGGAGCTGTTAGCAAGTTGTTCTGCTTCGTGAAGCAAAGGGGAGCGTAAACTTCTGCTCCATCTGCAGCCAGCTGCTTCGCCTCTCTTCACCTCTTCCTGCTCGGACACATGGGGGATTACCTCATCGGGCACACAGCGCTGTGTTGATACAGCCTCTGCTTCTGGCCTGTAAATAGCTCCATCGTCCTGTTTAAAGTCTCTCGGAGGGATATAACTTTTTAGTGAGTAAGAACAGAACTTTTTTGGGAACACTGAGTCTATCTAATGTCTTCTAAAATGGACAAATGCCCTTATTAGTCCTGGAATGACAAAGTCTACACATTTGAGATACTATCATGTTTTCAATTTATCTTTTTTATTAGACTCCATTTACACTGAAACATGCATCTGCGAACTCCATCATACGTGTCCAGAGTATCGCATGTCTAATGAAAACAAATGAAGCCACGTTCATTTGCTTTACAGCAGAGACTCCTTCAACCAGTCTGGCAGCAAGGAGTCACTGTCTCACTCTAATGAGCTGTAATGAAACTCAGATGACTATGGTTGAGGCTTAATTCAAATTTCCGGGAACTCAAAATGATACCAACCAACACAGCTCCCGTGCCACATGCAAAATATGAAAAAAAAATATAAATACGAGCATGTAGAGTTTGAATGTTGAGAACATCTTTATTTCTAATAGTTTAGGAACAGCATATAAAAAGTGAGAAACAGTCATATAAAAATAAAGTGACTCTGAGGATTGTCCAGTCTGTACATGACTTTACATGAAACGGTGTCAGATGTAGCCAATAATGTCTTTGCAGATTATGGGCTGTCGGCTGCCCGACTTCATGAGAGCCGCAAAGTGGTAAAAGTCTGAGTCGAGCTCATTAATGCCCGAGTGTGACTGATGGAAAAATGGGACTTTAGGTTGTGCAGCCACAACCGGACAGGACAGACGCTTTGGAGCGTTGGCAGCTCTGTTAATGTGGGACGAGTCCGTGGATCTCATCTTCACTCTGTCCTCCACACTCTTAGAAAATCCTGCTAGTTTCCTCCTCATGTTGACAAAGAAGCCTCTTCCCAGTCTGTGTCTTGAATTTGGCTTCAGCTCAGTAGGTTCGGGACATTCTGGCAAGTCCATCCAGTTCTGTATGAGGTCTGCGAAGCTGTTGTCACCCAGAACCAGAGGCTGGCGGTTACGGCCTCGGGTTAATAAAGAGTTCGTCCAGTCCTCTGGGTCGCTGACCTCAAACGACGTCCACGTCTCCAGACAAGCGTCGGAGGTGGATTTGGGTCGGACGCGTCCGCTCTGCGCTCTGTTGGTGCGCAGGCAGGCTGAAGATGACACCCGCACGTTCCTCGTCCTCCTGAGAACCAACCCGTCGTCCTGCCACGACGCCTCAGAGTAGCCGGAATCAAACTCCAGACTCTTCCGGCTGCTGGGAGAGCCGAGGCCTAACCTGAGGCTCAGTCCCAGGCGGCTGCTCGAGTCCTCGTCCTCGTCCTCCTCCAGAGGACTCGCCAGGCAGCAGGCGGAGTCGTAGGTGCTGGCCGTGCTGGCGTCAGACATCCGCAGACGAGCTCGCTGTTCTCGCTGCAGTGCTCGCTGCTGACAGGCACGTGCCACTGCAGAGTGGCGCACTAAGGCCGGGAGCTGGGCGCTGAGGGGAGCGAGGGGCCGTCTGACTGCAGGGCAGGTTCTCCTCAGTTGTTTCAGATCCTGCAGTGACCTCATCATGTACTGCATCTGCTCCCGCAAGCAGTCGCCCGAGTCACGTAAGCAAAGCTGAGGAGACAAGAGAGAGAGGGTCAAAAGTTGGCCGTGAATCACACAACATAGAGCATCAGCACATAAAGGCAGAAGACTGGAAACGTCTAAGCCTTTCTAATGAAATGCTACAGAAGGCTCTAATAATAACAAGAAGGAACTCCTTTGTGGGCATGCTCAGGCTTGCTTGGAGGCAAGTTCAACCTATGAAAGAACACCTTTTCTCTTATTGTAATCTTTAAGACCAGCTGACCTGTCCGTTAATTTGCTCAACCACACCAACAACTCGAGTGAACGCCCTTATTTCATTGACTCAGGAGTGATTCAACCAAAACCTCAGACAGATGTTATTACGAAGAGATCTGTACTCGTGCCTAACCTCAACTATTTATCTAACACAGCGAGACAATTCCAGAGCAAAGACGTCTGCAGCATATCAAGGAGAACACGGGGTCTGGTGGGTCTCAATTTAGCTACAGGGGTCCTGCCTCTTTAAGGGTGCAGCGTGCCTGCTTATGAAATTCACCAGCGACACACTGAGGAATAAAACACTCCGGTTTCCTCTCTGACTCACCGTGCTGATTGGTCAGAGCCAGCCAGTGAACAACGCTGGCTGGCTCTCAAACTCAAACAGGGCATAAGAGATCATGTGACGGTGTATGTGAGAAAGTTTAAGAGCAAGAGTGAAGCAGAAGAGGAAAGATGGACTCACACTTTCTTTATAAAACCACTTCTCACAATTTGAGTCTATAACAAACTATATATGTACTTCATACAAGCAAGTAGTGCATTCCTATTTTTGAGTTTGAACCTTTGTAACGTTGAGAGAAAAGCTGTAACTTCCAGACTGTGCATGAGACCTCCAGCTCATTGTAACGCTGCCATAACAAATCAAGAGACTGAGCTGACGGAGAGGCGAGGTATGGAGGAGAAAACCCTCTGACACAATGCAGGTTCACTTCTGGCTGCAGAGGTCACATCCAACACCAGCACACTCTTATTTCCTGCGTTCTTGTCGGTACACAAACCTCTGAACCTGCACGACCCTTCCTCTGTCTGTCTATTAAAGAGTCTGACTCTGTCGCAAGACCTTCTGCCCCCTTTTTTTCTGTTTTATCATAACTCTGCTAGATGTTGCAAGAACTTGAGAAACCTGAGCCCAAGGAGCAGTCGTGGGACAGGAAAGCAGAAAATGCAGCATGTATGAAATATCAAACTGCAAAGTAGGTAATTGTGTAAATTAGGAAATGTCCAAACATAACTAAATGCTGCATTGATTTGGCAGTTTAGGGGAACAAATGTTGTATTCAAACTCCACAATGCAAAGACCATCTGAGCATCACTGCCTTCTGCTGTAGTGCTGCATTACCAGATGCTGTCTCCATATGTTGGACTGATCTGCTAGTCAGATTTTAAAAAACTGACTTTTCATCGAGTGAAACAAAGTCCAGCACATTAAAGTTCATAATGTGAAAATAGTAATTTTTTTTAAAAAAAACTCACCATCTCCTTTTCTTTCATCTGTAAATCTCAGCTCCTACAAAACAAATGATGGATCAGATTAAAACCCACACAGACAAAAACTCTCCACAAGAAGGAAATCACAACTGAATAAAAGCAGACAACACTTACTTTTAACGTGGCAGCCTGCGACCAAAGGGAGAAAATCGTCCCATAAAGAGGAAACCGTTCCGTTCAGAGGTGTGTCGGGACTCGGTGTGAGCAGCGAGGACTCGATCGGTCTCCGTAACGGAGGCAGATGTGCTGAGTGAAGGTTTCAGCTCTGCCTGCTGCTTTTACGCTCCGCTCAGCAGCCAGTCAGTCTGCAGCCGCGGCCGTCCGAACGAGCCAATCAGCGCGCAGCATTCAGCTCATTTGCAAACCCGCCAGTTCTGTCTGCAGCCGCGACGAGCTGCAAGGACATGCAAACTGCAAATGCATTGATATTCTAAATTATAAGCCCACCACCGCCGTCTTGTCTTTGTTACAACAGTTCAAGCGTCTGCGCAAAGTTATTGTAGTTGATTTACAACTAAAACTCCACTGCAAAACCTCATTTAGGAAGAAGTTTAGTCAAATCAACTCAACTTTTCTAGTTGATGCAAATACACGATTGTTGCTAATTCCTTGCGAATTGAACTAAAAATGTGAAATTGGTATTTTTAGACTACTTGTAAAAAAAAATTTAAAAAAAGTTCTGATAATTGACGCAAAATTTTGAGTTGAATGAATGAACAGCTGAGAGTTCCCTCAACTCATCAAGTTTATAGGAAAGGAAAAAAAAGCACATCAGCAGACTAACCAGGATACATTGTTAGAGAGTTAAACTGCTCCAGAGACTCTTGGTGGTTGTAGGATACCTGATGTGGTCCTTTTTTACATGAAGATGTTTTTTTCATAGTAACTAAGCAATTTTAACCATGACAAATTTGAGCACTTGTATTTTGTTTCATTGTAACTGTTATTGCCTGGCTTGGATTAAATATGGCTTCGAGTTCTCAATGTCAAATGAAGAAGAAACTGTAAAAAAGCAAATGTAACAGAAAAAACTGTCTGTCTGCAGCCATTATCTATGTGACTAGTTGACTCAACTTAATATCTTAAGTTTATGGAATTTGTCAAGTTGAGTTAATTTAACCTTTGGAGTTCATAAGATGAACTAATGTGGGAATAATGTCACAGAGTAAAATATCTAATCAAAAATAATGACCTCTTCACCCGGAACTTCATACAGTCAGGTATAATGGTTGAAGTCCATCAGCAACAACCAATATAACAGACATATATGACTTTTTTGAAACTCAGTTAAAAAAATCTTTAACTGAAGACTCCTTTCACTTTATGAATTTTACAGAATAAGGTCAGGTCCCAGGAAAAGATCACCGAAGATGCAAATACTTTCAGAAGTCACGAGTAATTCTTGTATCTCGATGTTTTCGACATCTGCTGCAGTGTACTTTTTCATCATAGTTGTACAATTAACAATTTGGTGCACAAAATGTGAGAAAATGTTCCGGAAAAACAGAGTTTCCAAAAGCCCAAGTTATTGTCTTCAAATACTTTGTTTTATCAGATTAAGATCATTAGCTTGCAGACACAGAAAACTGAGAAACCCACCAAATAACTACATCTGAGATGTTGCACTGACAATCAGAAATTTTTTTTCATTCAGAAGCAATTAACCGATTGACTATTTATTTTATTTCCACTATGATGCATTTGAGTGTAATTAAACTTCTGTGAAAGTACACAAATGTTTCTATCCAAACATTTGCCGTCTTTTTATTTAGCAGTTTTAGTCGACTCCTTAAACCTAATCCTGCTGGTGGCTGATTGTGACTCGTTGGATCAGAGTGTAAATAAAGTGGCCACATGTAAATGTAATAATCTGCAGCCTAAATGAGCAGTGGGCTCGGACTGACAGTCGTTTGGCTCTCCATTCACATTCTTCACTGAATGAATGTTTATGCAAATCTGACAGGCTGAGAGGAATGCAACAGTTCATTACTGATTGGGAGTAATCCAGCTTGGATGGCTCACTGTTCAAGTGCAGATTTGTCTTCACAGCAAGCCCGCCATTTGCATACAGGCACGTGAGACATGCCCTAACCTGGGTAAGGAACGTGACCCAATTTATCCAGATGCACAACAAATAAACAGCAACTGTTGATATTACAATAGTAGAGTCATTTAACTTCTCTGAAACCTAGATTTCTTTATAAACACACCAGTCAATCTCTTTTCTCATTTGAACCATAAGCTTTTCTGCAAAGCAACGAATCATTTGAAAGACTGCAATCTGTAGTGACTTGAGATTTCCAAGCTTTCACTTATAGCGGCATTGTGTTTCCAAAAAAAGGACGCCATTAAGGCTGGTTCGCCCAGAAGCCCCTCACTCTACAGTCCACCAGCTCTTTCACAATATGAATTAAGCAATTTACACAGACCTTCTAATGGAATTGTGACTATCTCAATTTTCTGTGCAGACTGACCCATTTTTATTTTTTTTTAAGAGCATCACTGCTGTCCTGAATGCCTAATGGATTTAATTACGGTACAGGTTGGTACTTGAACAAATCCCTCTCCATTAATGCCAGAGATGAACTCTTTATTCTTCTTCTTTTTTTATAATCATACTGGCATTCAGCTTTTTCTTACCACTACAGTCACCAATATTGTAGGAAGCAGGTTCACTAAAGCAGAGTCAAGGGCACAAAATAGCCGTTCGCATCACTTATTTGCGTTATTCATGTTTTGTTCGGCCTCAGTACTTTGCTATGTTGTGATTAGTCCTGCAGCTCCAGACAGGTCAAACATTGTCGCTCAGTGATGCTCTCATTTCTACATGAGGAATAATTATTCATTTTCTCAGATGCTGACTATAGCAGTGATTCACATTCACATTACTAATTGTTTTGAGTAACCATTTCGTGGGAAATATTTGCATTAAACATGGCTCAGCAGAGTTGCACATACATGCATTTTTACTGTGAACACTTTTCCAAGTTCACATCTTTTGTGACTGTTGGCATGACAAAAAACTGAAATCTCCTTTTTAGGCAAGTTGCTCTGTGCCTCTGAGATGTGGGACTGTAGGTCTTCATACATAGAACTGCAGCGCCCTCTGGGGAAAGTAGTGCCTCGGAGAAAATGAATTTCATCCAGTAAAACTACAGACATTATCATCTTGTTTGGTTATTAATAACTAACACTGGTTGTGAACTGGTAGGGCTCTAAGTGCATAAACAAAATTAAGTCACAAAAAACTTGAATGTGACAGATTTTCTTTCATAAGGGGCCAAGTCCTTTCAGACAACTGTGGTGGCTGGAATTCATGACTGACAAGGATGAAAATTAGTAGGATGTAAGCGTAAAGTTAAGGCTGCTGCATTGTTTAAGTGGCCTCTAGCTGATGGTCTCTGTTGATGCCAGTAGTACATGTCTGTCAACCATCGCAGCTCCAACTAAATGAGGAGGAGAAGGACACAAACGTCACATTAAGACCAACAGAGACACTGAAAAATCTCTTTGGAATTTCCTTGCTGGAGATAAATGAAATGTAAATCCATTGAGCAAAGATGACTAATGTTGCTTTTAGTGCAGCACAGAACTTGTGGTTCATTTGTCTTGTTGTTATAGAACTTACCATTATGTGTTTCAGTAAACATGAGATCTGTTGTGATGTGCATGGAATTATTATCAGTGTCTCTGCTCACTGTTTATTCCAAGTATATGAATGGGAACATTAGATACGGCAAAATAACTCTCATGTGTTGTTAAATGTCAACATGAAAACAACATGGAAGCAACTTCTAACTTTGCACATATGATGTCAATATATAGAATACATGGTGTGCCAGTTTTTGTGCTGCTACCAATGACTCCACGTCTCTATTTTGGCATGTCAAACCTAGTCAAAAACTAGAAAGTTGGCTTGCCATACTTGCCACACATATAATTCTACAATGTTAAAGGCCTAAAAAGTTGTTAAAAATGTCAACTAAATACTGTATTATTCTACAACATATGGATTTATATATACACGTACAGGAATTTTCTGATGCTGCAGAAACTCCCCTTGTTTGAAAATGTTGCACTTTCTTCCATTTTAAAGGCCAGTAATTAAAAATGTGGTCTTTGCTGGAGTCATTTGACCATTTTGATCTGCTGGAAACAATTTTGTCTGAGTCCTTACTACATTTAAAAGGCTGCGGTAATTATATTTTTGCAGATATTGAACCATAAATATGACTTCTGAGATAAGCCTTTTTCTGACTCCAAGTAGAGAATTGCCCAGGAAAAAAAAAAAAAAAGTTTAAATTCTCCAAATTCTGCCAAAATGTTTAATAGAACTTAGCTTTTGGCCCCAATTAGTCTTTATCAAGACTGAGCTAAATCTGAGAGAGTGCAGCAACACGTTTTCTGAATTCTATCTGAACTTCCATGAACTGACCCATCAAGACCCTTTTCATTGATCTATTTCCTTCACTTTAGAGGTGCACACATCCAAATGATCATTGCGCTGCAGGCTTTAAATGTTAAAACTAAAGCATTTACAGTGTTCAGTGCGTCTATGCTTTATAGGAAACGAAAACCCCCATTAACCTTAACTTCCACTCCTCTGTTAATATCAGCCTGAGCCCTGGTAAGAAGACTGCTTCACTGTTCTGGGAAATAATCTAAATAGCTTTTTGTTATTCATGCTGTTCTCTCACACTGTCACTCTCCATAATGACAAGCCCATTGTCACACCCTATCACCGTCTCAGGCATTTGTCATGTCCTGGTAAGCCAACAGCTCGAGCCATCATTTGGTAATCAGAGAATGAAAATCGAACTGATGAAGTGTTGGAGCAAATTTTCGTTTATTTGCTGGTTCGGCTCCCTCACTCTTAAAAACAAAAACAGACTACAAGGTATTGTGAGACTGTGCGGAAAAATAACAGGGACTAACCTAAATAACTTCACAGCCCTAAATCAAACCAGGTTATTAGCCAAGACCCGTTTAATCACCGCAGACCAGAGCCATCCCTTGGCCCTCTGGTTCCAATTACTTCCACTGGGGCGCAGGTATGTCCTGCCAAAGTGCAGGACCAATAGATATAAATTTTCATTTGTCCCTACTGCTATTTCCTTGTTAAGTAAGTGATCGGTCTTGTCTTTTCTCTGTTGTATATTGGATGTTGTTGTTGTGGATGTGGTTGTGTGTGTGATTGTGGCAGTGACTGTCTCATTGCTGGCTGCACAAAAATTTCCCCATGGGGATATAAAAGATTTTTGAACTTGAACTTGAACTAATTGTAAGCAGAAGACAGCTGGATGTGCCTTTGTGGATATTAATGGATGGAATAGATTGCTCTAGACTTTGAGAGGGTCAACTTATTCATTCGACTACGATTGTACACGTTAATGAGGACATAAACAATCTTTGCTCTACTTGCACAATAGCAAGTCACACATTTTTTTTATGGTTTGTATTGTTGGTCACAGAAGCTGCCACCCGCGTGTCCAAGAACCTCCATGCTTCAGTGGTCATTTACATATTACCTTAAATAATAATAATTTTAAAATGCTGGCCTCCCTTGCATATCTCTGTAGCTTTTTGTAATATCTCGGATTAAATATTTCTAGACTGAAGGGTTCCTGAGGAGAGCTAACAGGTCGAGTCCAGTGATGTTTGGGTTCACTTTTAGAATGACATTAAGCTACACATCAATAATTAGCCTTCTCATCTGTTAAATGTCCAACAAAATGAACAGCCTTTCACCTACTTTACAGGCTCCTGCATCCAAGTCAGACATGTTGAAGCAAACTGTGCAGTGAGGTCCTTTGCACCTTGTAAATACTTTAAAATGGAAGTGAGTTTAAACTCACACCTGTCTTTAACCCTATTCAGGACTTTCATGTTGTCATACGTCGAAGGTCTTTCAGGGTCCATTGGACCTCAAGAAAGAATATGTGCAAAATATTTGTTGGTATTCATTATAGACTTTTATACAATGTTAGTACATTTTCCGACAATTTGACGTATTTTTGGTTCCAAATGCATGACACATGTTTCTCTTTCTATATTGAAAAAAAATTCTTCAAAAACAAAAAACAATACCTGTCACCTAAACCAAATGGCCTGGGGTCCAAAAGACCCCAAAAGTCCTGAATAGGGTTAGATATATATAATGTGATTGATATGAAAAGGAAAATAAAGTACCGGTTTGTGTTATTAATTGTCCATCTCCTTGTTGGTTCTTGTCATGTCTTTTTCACATGCATTTACAGTTTGTGGATGTCCCATCACTAAGTTGAACATGGATGCCACTGACAGCAATGTGTTTCTCAAACCTACTGAAAACAATTTAAATCCCAAAATATCCAGGTTCAAGACTGGTCAAGTGCAGGCAAAATAAAAGATATCTTCCATTTATGCATCTAGTAAGAGTGTTGGTAACAAGATATGATAAGCGTTATTTCCTTGTCATTAGTGATTTAAATGAATTACTAGGAAATAATAATCTGGAAGTTGTGTCAAATGAAATATGAACACATCTGTAGACAAAACTGGACTAAAGTAGACTAACAAAGCAAGTTTAAGTGTTACCATTACGTGCAAATAATATATATACTTTAAATTAACAATTAAAGCCATGCACCCAAAGTGTCCACTGGGTGGCAGTCTCAGTCCAGTGAAATGTGCTTGGTAGGAAGTTTAAATCTGTGTTGTCCGCATTAGAATAAAGAATTATCAGAGTAGAAAAACTGTGTTTAAAAAAAGACTGTTAAAGTAATAACATGTTCTTTTTCTTAAAGATTGTGTGTGATGGCTAATGGTGACTGACATTAGCCCACTTCAGGTAGCGTTTTGCAACATTACAAACATTCAATAACAGTTCTACTATTTCACTATAATTTAGGGTTTATCGATCCTTGATTGCTTTAATGGAAAAAGGTGCATTACCCAAGGAGAGCGTAAGGTCAGGAGCACTTTACACTCTTCTTAATTTAGTCACTCCAATCCATATCCTCTTGGCACTTACTAGTATTAAGTTGCATAATATTGGAGTTTATTCTGTATCTTAGCTCCTTCCTCCATGGCTGAGGTGTTGTGATGTGATGACAGAAATCACCCAGGCAAAAGCCGCTCAGTGCCCGACCTCCATGGTATTACAACATCCGTTCAGTTACCTTAATGGTGTACAACTATCACCCGATTGCTTTAAGTGCAACAGTGCAATTTTGTAAAAAGTGTGAAAGCCGTCAGTGTATATCTGTTCTGTTATCACCTGTAACATGAACTCAGTCTGCTCAGGTGCCAACGACAAAAAAGAAGAGGTAAAATGCAAATGCAACAAAACAGAGAGGAAACACAATCAGGTGATGTCTACTTTTATTTAAATTAAATCATATAGCACTTTTAAAGCATTTTAATATTTACCAAAAAACACTAACCTTTTTCTGAATTAGATTTTCGTCTCTCATTAATAATCACTATATATTCATAGGTGCTAGGCATAAAAATGGAAGAAAAAAATTTAGGCGCACAGTAGGTCAAACAGTACTAAAAGCATATCTAGGAATTGGTTGTAAACAGAAGTCAAGGCACAAACATACTGCAACAGACATGGAAATGATACTATAAAAAGTGATAGAATGTTAGGTACACACATATCAGTGAGAATTTCGCCAAAATTTCCCCCTGCAGGTGAAGCGATTTTTGTCATTTTTCAACTTTTCAACTTTTTTTTTTTTTTTTTAACTTTTATTTTGTAGGAATGTTAGATAATTTGTGCAGATTACAGAGCTAATATTTGCAATGTTGAGTCATGCAGAACAATATACGGTTTGGCTATGAATGATGAACTGATGTAAACATTATAAAAAAAAAAAAAGAAGAAAGCACTTTCCTTTTATCAATCATATTTTATGTCCATGCCTGTGCTTCATCTCTTAAAAAATAAGCTTCATGTGATTAAAAGTTTAATAATTTGCACATCAGAATCTCTAAAAGTAAAATGAATGCGTTTATATAAAAAAAACTTTTCCTTTCCCTCCTCTAGTAATTGAAAATAAAGAAGAAAAAAAATGAACAAAAATACAATAATAAATGTTGATTTTTGTGGTCATAGCCCAAAGAGTTAACAATATGAGCAACTGGATCAGCAATCGTTGAAAATCTGCAAGGCTCGTCAGGTTTTCAGTCTCTTAGATGTCTTTATAAAAAGCAGATCAAAGCAGAAATTGTGGTTGGCCAGTGCAGTCATTTATGATGTGTGAATATTCCCCCATCTTTATGCTCATCAGAACTGTTCAAGTAATCTGAAAAAGCACAAACACACACACAAATCGGTCAATTCGAACAGCCTCCATTTTATGAATTGTTTATGGTCACTTTCTGAATGATGTCTCACCTTGACTCTTTCTCAGACTTGTTTTTAGAAGAGGCCACAGTCCTTCAGGTTGTTCTTGATGATGACGTCGGTGACTGCATCGAACACAAACTGCACGTTCTTGGTGTCGGTGGCACAGGTGAAGTGGGTGTAGATTTCCTTGGTGTCCTTCTTCTTGTTCAGGTCCTCGAATTTGGTCTGGATGTAAGCCTGGGCCTCCTCGTACTTGTTGGGACCTGAGGGATGAGAAAAGTTAAAGAGGAGTGTCATCAGCCTAAAATGCAATTAAAATAAATATGCTGAAAGGGTTTCTTTCAGCATATTTCAGCAGTTTCTTCAAATCAAGTGATATTTTGTTCACTTTGCACTAGGGATGCGATATTGGCATAAAAATTTATTATCTATCAATATCGTTATCTTTTTTGGGTTTTTCTTTTGCCTATAATGAAAAAATAATGCTTGGATTTCGCCAGCATTTACCGGCGTGCAAATGATGACGACAGGAGATACGTGACGTTACTTAAAATTAGTTAAATAGCCTACATATATTGGTTGATATTGGAATCGGAAATTGAGAGTTGAACAATATCGACATAGCGTCTTTGAGTTTGTAAGCATTTTTGAGTTTGTGAAAAGTGCTCTATAAATAAAATGTATTATTATTATTATTATTTATATCGGATATTGGCAAAAAAGTCAATATCGGACATTCCTACTTTGCATCTCTCATGTTCTGTTACCTTCGAGTCTTAGAGTTAAGCATGTTTTTTCATCCTGTGATTGTTGAAAAAGTCTTTAGATTCTTCTATTAAAAACATTCTGCAACTGTAAACACGTTTCACACCTTTTTAAAGTTGCTGTTCTGTTTTCTAATCCCAAGACGGTAACTGAAAACAACAATGATGTGAACCAGGAGTTCCATTTATTATCAGTTATTTTTGTCCATAATGATGGTAATTTGTATAATTCCACACTTTTGTACAAAAAAATGTGTGATATTCTTTGTGTGTTGTATAAAAAAACAAACAGTTAAAAACAAGCACGATTATTTCCAGATTCTTGAACAGCAGCTTGAAAAGATTGTGTAAATCTTCCATTGTCAAGCAGTCACTGGAACACGTTCTCATCCAGATGGTTTGAAGAGGATTTTGGAAATACCATCAGAACAGCGGTAAGTGTTGTCAAATAACTCCTGGGTTTTTCAAAGATGGCTAGGAAATCAAACAGTTGCTTTTTTTGAGACTTGAAAGGAGTAGTAACACATAAGAGGCTCAAACTGGGGCAGGTTTTTGCCTTGTTTTATGATTCTGGTACAAAGAAGTACAACTTAACTGGAAACAAGTGGGAGCATCACAGTCTATTGAGAGATGTTATCAATCAAGTGGCTGCAAAAATCAAACCATTAAAGTCCTTCTCTCGTTGCTGATTAAACTTCTAAAAACTCATCTGCGTCAAAACTACATATTTTGATTTTCTTTTTTCTGTGAAAATAATCCATTCCTGCCTTAAAATTGCTTAGATGTAACTTTCCTTTAGAATGTGCAGACTTATGATGTCAGTAATGCACATTCTACTGGAAACCAATTCTAAAGAAGAATACGGATAAGGAAAGCTCCAAGTCACAAGCTGACAGGATTGGCTCTTCAGGTGTATTATCTGTGAAACCTCAGAAGTCGAAATCCGTGTTTTTGAAACTATCAACGTCGCAGTTTTAAGGTGGAAATGCTTATTTTGCTCATGTTTTGTCTTCCAGCACATTAAAAAACCCATGTTGAAGATGTACACATTTTTCATCGTAGAAGGTCTTCAAAGACATAAATAAAGAGAAGCTCTTCAAATCATGTGCTCCTGGTCTGTGTTTGTATGGAGTTATTTGTACAGTACCAGTGTATTCAGGGAAACAGATGGTCAGAGGGCTGTGGGCGATCTTCTCCTCAAACAGGTCCTTCTTGTTGAGGAACAGGATGATGGACGTCTCTGTGAACCACTTGTTGTTGCAGATGGAGTCAAACAGCTTCATGCTCTCATGCATCCGGTTCTGGGTGGGACGGGCACAAATGTGGAGATAAAGAGATTACTACACAACACAACTAGGGCACATAAAGGAAATGAGTTCACTAAACCCAGCCTCCCACCCCATTTCAAATTTTCCTGGGGATGGGCTCTACTGTAAAATGCAAGTGAAGCAATTGTTTTTGACTCTAAGGAGCAGATTCTTGTCTCACCATCTCCTCATCCTCAGCCAGGACCAGGTCGTAGGCGCTCATGGCTACACAGAAGATGATGGCTGTGACTCCTTCGAAGCAGTGGATCCACTTCTTCCTTTCTGACCGCTGGCCTCCAACATCAAACATCCTGCACAGACACACACACACCGTGTAAACATGTTGTTTTTATGAGACAGCGGATGGGACTGAGCACAGGAGAGGAAAAAAAAAACACTTTTTCAAACTGACAGACAGGCCAAACGGCTTCAAGGTCTCCCCCTGGCTTTCTGCCTCTTCCTCTCTTCAGGACAGGGTGTTTGCTGCAAAGGCCTCATCATTTTCCTGGCATTTTAGGACAGCACAGTTGCTGTGGTAACAGGAGGACTTGAGACAGGTTGAGGCTATATATGACTTATTCATGAAGACGGAGGGGACTTAGATGGACGAAGGAGGATGCTCATCTTGACTGCAACAGACCGAAGATTTTTCTCATCCAATATTGAAAGGCAGCATTTCAGCTGGAAGCTAAGGGTAGAGCGTAACCATTTATAGAATCTTGGAATGACACGGTTTTTTCATGACACTTCATTCGTCCTGCTAAGCAGTTTTCACTTTGCAGAATTTGGTTCATTAGAGCAGTACTTTGACTCGTACGGACAGCCAGCTTTAGGCTGAGTCAGCAGAACACATTATAACAGTGACACACTTTAGACTGTTTACCTCAACAGTGCGCTCATTTCCAGCTCTGCTTACATAAGCCAAATCATACAGTCCAGCACAAAAGAGACTGCAGTAGGTAAACATATCTGCTTGGATTTGGTTCATGTTTCTCACAGAGTAATGCAATATATCAACACATAAATATGATATATTACACACGGCAGGCACAGACGTAGAAGCACACACACTTATTTCTACTGGCTTGCTAAGTCTCACTGAAGGCAGTTTCTGATCTTGGATATTTAACAAACACTTTCCCTTGTTGGTTGCCAGGGTTGTAGTGGTGACTACTGTCTCCATCAGATATGACGTATTAGTTTGTGTGTGGTTTCACTACAAAAATGAGGACCTCTACCAGTAATGGATGAACACAATGACAAAGAAACATTTCTAAGAAGCATGGCTAAAATTTGGCATTCAAAGTAAGGAACTAGTGAGGAGGCAACAGTTCATATTCCCTAAAACATCTTCTTTTACAGATAATGTATGTAATCCTCTATTCAGTCACTAACATCCCACACATGCATATTATTTGAGTGGGACAGCAAAAAGAACAAAACCTGTTTATGTTATTACTGATATTTATCAGTTTGTACGTCAGTTGAGGTTTTCCCCTTTTTTCTGTGTGTAGAAGCACAGAGTCGTCTTTGTGCTGCAGTAATGGATAGGATGAGCTGTTAGGGGTAAAGACGTCTTAAGCTCAGCTGCTGAAATAAGCAGCACAAATCGGAAAAACAAATGTTTTCCTTTCTGCGAACTTTATGACGATAAAAAAGAGGGAACATTTGTACAATTTTAGTACAAACACAAAAACATGATTCATCGGCACATAAACACAACCTCTCAGTTGGCTTTGGGACATTCTTGAAATATCATCTCATTACTGTCAAAACACAGGGAAATAGTGTTTTCTCACAAGACCTAAGATATGCATTTTTGCATATATAGTTTAAAGTAGGAGTACAATTACCTTTAAAAAAAAAAAACAACAAAAAAAAAAGACACACAAAGTGCTATACTGAGCGAGTCTTGCAGATCAAATTGAGTTTTGCTTCAGTCGTAACCCTCTCAGACACATTTACAAACACTCTCATCATGTACATTTTAAAGTTCAAAATGCTTCAAGTTAACATAAAAGCAATTTACACAAAAATGTGTTTTGTTTATCTCATCCTCCATGATGAATTTTGTTACTAGAGGACAGTAAAACCTATTCCTGACCCATTAAACAAGTTTTTTTGTGTACATTGCCGAGGGCCACCTGGGCAAATCAAGTGAGTGAATTATTCAGGTATGACCTTTGCAGGTGAAATTAAATGTTGAGCTGCACAATGTAACCTGATGTGGTTATTGTACTTTTTATAATTTCAAGAGTATTTCAATTGCAAGACAGCTGACAAAAGAGAGGGCTTACTTGAAGTGCAGGTCCTTGAAGGTGAAATGTGTCTCCACAATGCCGGTGGTCTTGACACGAGTTCGCAGCACATCTTGCTGTGTGGGGATGTAGTCAGGCTTTGCTATCCTCTCCAGATCATTAAGGTAGCTGATGGGAGGAAACAAACATATTAAATGTATGTTAAATATAGCGAATTGTCCTCCAAACTCACAAAGGGTAATTATCTTAAAACCTGTTAATGTAAGATGTAAGGAAAGATTTTGTTCAGGTTAAAAGGCTCATCTGTTCCTGCACACAGAAATGAGAACAGCAGTAATGCCTCATGCTGGCACCTTAACAGCACTAGGAGCACTGTTCTGTCTAAACACAGCCAAATTGCTAATCACATTTCATGTGTTATTGTGCTGTCATAGAACAATGTAAGACTGCTTGTTTTCCTCTGCTGACTCCATAGCGGTTCACAGGGGCTGCAAAATATCTGCAATCATCTCATTTCTTACTTTTTGACATTTTTACCTCACCTTACTCACCTACTTAATCTATATTGATTTTACCTAATGCATTTAAAATGTATATTTGGTGCATTTGAGTATAAGATAACTGACTTTATATCTTCTGACAGTCTGGATGCCCTCCACATATACTGTCACCTCACTGATTAAGGTGTCAAACACAAAGGCTTTCAAGACATATGCATACTTCACAATCCCAACCATGAGAAAGTCAGAACTGCAAGTTGTGTTTCAGTAACCTGAGTTAGAAATAATACATTTTCAGGATTTTTAAAATAGATAAAACCCATGGAAAATCTTTACAAATTACATCCAAAGCTTCCTCTAAAATCCCATTAGCAACCGAATGTCAGCGAGAGATACAGCATGGTAAGCGATAATTCTTGTATCAGTGCATTCTCATTAAACCTTTGTTGTCAGCAATCACAACATTGTGCTACGTTGTCAGTAATATAAACACTAAATTCTGCACTGAGGGACAGTGAGACGTTGGTCTTTTCACATACGCGTGCACAAAAGAGGGATTTTTCTTCACCTCATCTCACGTAAACACACAAAAGGCTACAGGGCAAACGTATTTTCTGTCAATCTTTCGACACCGTATTCAGCTGCGTAAAAAAACATGCTACCGTATAACAAAAGTGTTGGTACTAAATGTAATCCGATACACGCTACAGTGCAAGTGTAAATATTTGAGCCTTCATACCACTATTTCATACCACGTGCCTAACAGTTTATTCATAATCCCACTCCCTGCAGAGAGTGATTTAGGCTGCTTTTGTAGTCCACACATCAGATTTAACTCTGCTTGATTTGGTCATTGTGTCCATAAGCCCCCAAGATTAATTGAGTTTGGATCTCAACTGCAGAGGAGAGAGATGCTGCAATAGCCAAATAATGGTCATTTTATGGTTTTACAAGAGATGTTGAAACTATCTCATCATGTTTAATATTATCATGTCTACCGGGATGTAAGAGACTAGAAGAACCAGAGTGGATCAAGGCAACACATATTGCTGCACACAGAACAATTACAGTATGAGGAAAGACCGATTTTACAGAGACAGAGGTGTGAAAAGGTTAGGCTTGTTCCCTCAAATAATGACAGCTGGATCCATTATTTTCAGTGTACACAACACCTCCCCTTTTTTTTTAAAATCAAACCTAGAGTGTGAGAGAAGAGAGGTCTCTGTTAATGTGAGCTGTGCCATTTCCCTCCCTCTCTCTCTTTATCTGTCCCTTCCTTTCTCTGGCTCTCAGCAGGTGCTCAGACATGGATTATGGTCTCCTGCCAGACTCATTTAGTCCTCTCTTATAGCAACCTACTCTCTTCAGTGCTCTATAAAGCCATGATGAAACACTCTACATTGTCCACTGTCCCGGCTGCTAAATGTGAGGCTGTGTAAGCAGTACATTTCCACGTCCCCTCAGCTTTAACAACAGCAGTGAGGCTGAGATGGAAAAGTTATGATTACACCGGCCAACACAAACACAGGACAATATCACTCCCCCCGGTAGTTAAATACTGCCTTGACTGCAAAGCAATCATTTGTGAAACTCTTAATACTCCCCTGACAGTTCACAGCACAAACTGGCGGTGTCACAGTATTATCAGAGGCCTTGTATATTAAACAGAAGACAGCGCGGTGAAATTCTGCTGCAGCCTGCAGACAGACAGTGATGAACAAGGCTCTATATTCTTTAGACTTCCATATCAGAGCAGCATCCCCCAAGGTCAGAGTGTTAACCACCCCTTGCCTCTTACCAGCAGCGTCTCACATTTACTTCACGTTCTCGCCGTTATTATACTGGCGGATCAGAGCAACGTGGCTAACAAATGCAGCACTCGAGAGAGAAGGGTCATTGAGGTAATTAGGAGCTGCGGAGAACGGCTGAGGTTGACTGTGTCGCTGCAGATTCGCAACCCGACTGGTCTTTAACAGCATCAGAAATAACAAAGCACAAACCAGTGTGGAGAACGCTTAAACTAGAAAAGCAAGTAGAGAAAGTGTAAGTGAATGAAAAAAGAAAAGAAGATCTAAAGTCACATTAACATGCAGGGATATTTGGGAGTTACTCTAAGTGCCAGCTGAAGGTGTAAAAGCAGATTAGGAGACATGGCGGTTTTAAAGCAGTTAGACTTTCTGAATATCTCCATTCTGTTCCTCAAACTATAAAAAACACTTAATGACAGGGGCTCCCTGTTTGCTCTTGGAGATGATAATCTCTGCAACTCATTACTCTGGTGGTGACTACCTGCAACTCCTCAGACTTTGTTTGGACAGGGACATTGCTAAAAATGCTTACTTAATGCATCCTGCTAAAATTAAGGCAATGTAAGATTTCTGCATAAAATCATCTTTCAGCTTTAATGATGAAATGAAAGCAAAATAAGCTATGGCGCCACTAAACTATACACTTCCAGTGATTAAGAAAACCATGCTTTCTCATCATACTATTCCATACGGATCATAACATTTCAGCATGCTAATGTTAAAGTTGGACTGATGAAAATGTTTACACATCAAAGTAGAACTTTCAACTTTCCACTGCAGCTGCAACTATTGTGGAGTAGCAATAACTATGACATTCCACATTAAATCATTACTTTTCTCTAATATGTCAGTATCAATGAGGCTCAGAGACAACGACTGCTGTGTTTGCTTGCTTCTATATAGAGCCATAGGCAGTGTGTGTTTCTAAGTTGACATTACTTTTCTGGAGACGGTAAGAATCCAATTACCACATCTTCAGAGCATAATTATGTACAGTTTGGTGCTGAGGCACAATGATCCACACAAAAATCCTAGTGTTAATTCAGGTTATTAAGGCACTCACTAGGCTGCAGAGTCATTGAGCTGGTACTCTCGGGCCCGTGTGAAGCAGCTCTGGACGCCACCGTCGGCCCACAGTCGCTGGATGACGTTGGACAGGTCCTCTGGCAGGATGCCCTGCTCTTCTGCCGCTGCTGACAGCGCAAACAGTTGGCGGGCATCATCCTGAAAAGAAAATATACACACAAACACATCATTAGATACATTAGGTCTCTTTAAAAATGAAATAAGGGTATACTGACCCTCATTATTTTTCTTCACTAGGTAATAAGCTGATAAGCATGACAGTGCAGGACTTTGTCTAGAGCTTCCATTCCACATGGCTAGTGTTTATATGAATTTTGTAAGGCCCAGCAATGGCAACACAGAATGACATTTATAATTATCAAGTGTGAGATCTTGAGAGTTTATAATTGCAGCAAAAAGGACTGAAAAATGTAATTACATACTTCACCAATTGTGAATCACGTTTTCTGTAAAAGTGTATAGTTTTTAACGAATTGAAAAGTTCAAAATTTAACGTCTTCGTAGCTTTTACTGTATAACATGTGCAGAGTAGTGTTCTCATCATTAAGCTTAATAGTCAACTACAGAGCTTGCAGTAACTAAGAAAACAAAAACAGAGCCGAGGCTTTCTGGGCTGAGTTTTCTGCCTTAACTTGACTGACCAACACTATCAGATATGCTAAATGGTAATCAGCAAGCTTCCTTGTCAAAGTACAGACTGGCTTTTATTCTGGGCATCTTATGTGTGCTTGAGGTCATTTTTCCCATTTTAAAGACTGCTATCTTGATCTGCTTCACAGAAAAATTTCATTCACATGCTACTGGTTTAATGATGGAAAAAACTGAATGTTTTTCCATTCCCTGTTAAATTATTGCAAGTTCCTGCAGTCGTGCACACTACAAACATGTTCCTGTAACATGTAAAAAAGGTGAAGAAATAGACAAGTGAACAAAAAAAAGTGAGGAATGGTGTGACCAGAAGGTATGTATTCATCACAGGCATAACTGATGAATCAACTGGTGCAAGTTTATGTCTGGCTGGCCCTCAGCCATCACATTATCGTCTACCATGGAACTGCACTGTAATGAATCAATCTAATAAAGTGCAGTTGTCTGGAAAAACAGTTGCATCAAATGAAAGTGATTTAAACAGCAAACTTTATGTGGCAAAAACACAAGTGGTGAATATGAAGCTACATGAAATGAGCCAGCAGAGAGACGCAAGTTGTGCCTCTTTGGAATTTCTTCTATTTCAGAAGGACTGCTATGCATATACACAACATGAAGTTCATTGTTTCACTGCTTAAATTTTCCTGTGTTGTTGCTTAGCCAGGTAAAGAAGAGGTAGTCAACAACTGGATGGACTAGTTAAAAAAAAAAATATCAGTATGTAGATGTGCAATTAAGTTGCAGTCAGTTGTAGCTACAGCTTATTGACTGACAGCACGAGACAGGCACACCACTTTCATTGCCCAACTCTGACCCTTTTTGGCTGACACTTCACAAGGGCTTACATAAACTTCATATTAGTTAGCCATTGTCCGATCCTCCATTCTTTCTCGGCTGTGGGTCACAGTAGGTTAGCAGCCCTTTACTGCGTACAATGTGCTGGTAATTAAATCCTGCGAGAACCCAACCTGTTCTACATGAATCAATGCAATGCAGAATACCAGGGCTGTGATATACAGTGCATCTTGACTCTCCTTGATCAATGCACAGAAAAGGTCTTTAGTCAAGGGTGTAATAGTACTAGTAACTGTGATGTTGCATAGACGCTGCTCTCCGGTTGTTGTATGAGCACCTCTGAATCTGTAGTTCACAACTTGGGTCTCTTGCACCAAGTTTCTGTACGTATTAACATCCCACAGAATAATATGGTAAGTTATTTTGATGATGATTAAGGTACAGATGTTTAGACAAAGTCTTGAAAGGATCATATGATAGAGTCATACAAATGTCTGCATATCTGGATGTGAAACCAGTTGATAATGGGTTGTGGTAGAAATTATTATGTGTTGGTTAAAATCCACATGAGCTTCCTATACAAACACTGCAGAGGAATGAAAAATGGTAACCAGAATGAACTACTAAGCACTATTTGGTTTACTAGTACTTTGCATACAATGTCATGGTAAAAACAAACTGTGAAGGCAGCATAAGAACAAAAAGACAAACCATATTTTCTTTTTAATTGAACTATTTGAAATATTCCACGATACTCAAAGCTCTCTGTCGGCCACATAAAACCATGTTCATCCAGCTTCTCTGGAATGAAAGTCACCTGGGAAGATGAAATTTGGAAAGAACAAAACTATATGTACAGAAGTTGAAATGTAAGGATTATGAAATCAGTGTTTTCTTGCCTAGACTCTTACAAACATCCAGTGCTTAGAGAAAGGTATGAGATGAGTACAAATACACAGCATTTATTTGAATGGTTGGTCTGTGTGAAAGGTAAGCCAATGCAGCCAATTCCTTTTCTCTGAATTTAGCAATTCAAATATTATCTTTTCAAATTTACTACGATGGCAGCAATGACATCTGGCTTCATCCCCTCAGATGATCTCTGAGAACAGAATATACGTTACACATTTGTGAGATGACGGCTCCAGAGAAAAAGGAATGTCATCTTCTCTTCCCACGCACAAAGTCTGATGTTTATGATCTTATCGTTTTCCTGGATGTGCACCTTTGAAAGGTGGTTCTGTACGGTTTTGTTTAACAGAGACACACTCACACACGCAGTAACAGGAAATACATGGCACTGCATGCGTCCACCTTCAGCTATCAAGAGCTGAGTTCTGCATAGAAACTATCGCACTGCACTTTAGAGCGATTCTTGATCTGCATAATTTCTGTTTCCTCAATCCCTCAAGGCTAGGTTAAGACGGAGGCAGAGTGGAGAATTTGGTGGTGATTAGAAGAGATTATATCACTGAATTGAGAGTAGCTTTACTGCACTGCACTTTAGCAGGTTTGTTGCTGGTTTGTGTCTACCTTCAACAGCTTTCTCCTAGGACACAGCACAGATCAGAATACATGGGAACAGTGTGGCCCTACTAACTGTGTCTGTATTAGTAGTATAAGTAATATTTAACCCTATTCAGGACATTTGGGGTCTTTCGGACCCCGGGCCACTTGGTTTAGGTGGCAGGTATTGTTTTTGTATTTTTGAAGATTTTTTTTTTAGATTTAAAAAGAGGGACATTTGCCATGTATTTGGAACCAAAAATATGTCAACTTATCTGAAAATGTATTTAACATTGTATAAAAATCTATAATGAATACCAACAAATATTTTTCGCATATTCTTTCTTGGGGTCCAATGGACACCAAGAGACCTTCTACGTATGGCAACATTAAAGTCCTGAATAGGGTTAATACATTGAGACAGATGCACTGAGCATGGTGGGCTGTCATGTCTTCAAATTTGTGCATTGGTTGATTAAAAAGGCACACAAAAACTCAAATTCCTCTATGTCTTACAAAGGGATACAAAAGTTGGTAATTTCAAAGACCTACCGCTCTAGCAGGTTCCTCGTAGTCGATCTTGAGGTTGGCCATCGCTTTGATGATGGCCATAATGGACTGGATTGTGTTGCTGTAGACAACTGCTCTGTACTGCTTACACTCGTCTTCTGAGTATCCATCCTCATGAATAATCCTGAAAAAAAGAGGGAAGGAGGGTGATTAAAAAACAAAAAAGGCACCAGTGGAAGCATAATTTATGTTAAAATCTTAACTTGACAACAAAACACAATGTTGATATTATTACATAAAACACTACAAAATCCTGTAGAAGGTACCTTTGAGAGGGAGCCAACTGATATGCCCTGTTTGTTTGGTATTTGCTAATGTAACATTTAGATTATCTTGCCAAATATTTTTTCTGACTGCGAAAACAGTGTTATCTCTAATTTGTCACAGTCCACGCTGTTCACGAAATAAAACCTAATCTCAGTCTGCGTTTGATACTGCTGAGATGAAGCACTGGGAAAATTCACGTGTTTTTGTATCTCTCAGCTAAAGGACACTAAAACAAATATTTACTTGCTTTTGGAGCTGTGGAGAGAGAGAAACCAAGAGAAGAAAAAAAAAAAAAAGGCATGTGTTTGAAAAAGCATGAGGCCAAGACAGAAGCTGCTGGGCTGGAAACCAAATAGAACCATCTCTCCTGGCCTGTCACAGCCCAGAGACCAGAGTCACACAGCCATGATGTTCAGTGGCTGTGTGGTGGGCTGAATGGGACCTCATTAAAATGCAAGTGAGCTCGCGATGAAGCACTGCGAGGCACCGCCAAATTTACTAAAAGCCCACGGTGTTTCCCCCTCACACAAACAATACTTTTAATCATTTCAGAAAATTGTCTGTGACGACTAGATTGTGAAGCATTTTGAAAACACGTCACCTAACTCTTTGAAATTTAAGAATATCAGGATCTCACTTATTTGAACGTGTGTAGACTTGTAAACTTGTAGTTGTTTGAATGTTTTGCAGTTAAAAAAAAAAAAAGCACTCACTTAGTCAACAATCTCTTAAAAAGACTTTTTCATAATAATTAATCAGCATCTAAATCTAGACAGTGACACACAGTGATTCTTAGAGATTACTATTACAGATAAACTACTGAAAATGAACAAACTGAGTATCACTCTTAAACAAATTAAGAATCTGGCAACAAAGTGCGGGAAAACAACATGACTAAATAGTTTCCAGATCACAACCTTAGACTAAGTTTGCAGTAGCAGAACTCAAAGGTAGCAGTGTTTTGCATGAAAAAAAATGTTGTGTTGGTTGCTTCACTGCTAACAAAGAATCCAGCGAAAAGGAATTTTCCCTCTCCACCACACAGTTCATGATTTAGGGTACACACACAAACAAATAGCTTCTTCCTTGTTCTAACTTCCAGACAAGTTGTACTGAAATCTGCCAAGAGGCTTGGGGTATGCTTTGAACTATCAGACAAATGAAATCGAAGACTTGGCAATGATAATTATATTACATGGGCTGTGTGAGCTGCTTCCTTCTCAATTAAATATTTCATGACTACTGTGTTAAAAATAACTTGCACATCTGGTGTCAACCGGGGGAAATTTTCAATAGAGCTCTAAAACAGGATAAACTGAAATCCTATCATTAATGTTGTCATTCTTCGTGACTGTCACATTTTTTTGTGAGCATAATTATCCTTTTTTGTCTCAACATGTATGTCTAGTGTCAAGCAGACGATATTTTTCTCAGGTTTTCTTGAGATTTTCCAAACTAGATTAAATGGAACCCTTTCATTAATGCTGCAGTTTCCTATGACTCTCACACATTTTGCAAGCATAATTATCCTTTTTGTTAGTAGCATGAATAAGAAAAATCCACACATCGTTTGTATGAATCTATTATTTGTCCGTGTTACAAAGGAAGATAAAATGCTGTTCATCAAGTGGTGATCTGAGTTTGTTAATGGTAATAATGTATCAAAAAGCAACAAGCACATAGGTGTTTATTGAATAGATATCGGAAAACTCCATGTGAATAATTAGTGTTGCTGCATTGACTGAAGCAGCATACTTAAAACAAATTGTATGCATTCATGCTGTGGAGGTGCACATTTAGCACCATCTTTTTAGCTCTTGTTTCAGAGACTATTAGAGAGGGTTTTCGAGTTGAAAGCATCTGACTTTATCTGAATTAAACCATATTAAATATTAACATCCCCTCCAAAAAAAAAAAAAAACCCAAAGCAAAACAAAATGCTAATGAATATTTAATGCTACACTCCATCCAGTGTTCTTAAACAGCAGACGTTTTTTTATTTATTATTTTTACATGTGTTAAAATGATGAAACTTACAGTCACCTTGTTGCACTACATGGATCTAACGTTGTTGTCTCCTACTCACTTAGTGGAGCAAAGCACAAGTGGATGTTTAAGTTAAATGGTTCATGTCTGTACATAATGATTTACTTGCAAACCCTGCTTTTGTGTTTATTTTCATACACAGACATTTCCACTTCAAGCCAAGAATAAAAAGTTTTGAGATATTATGACTTCTTTCGCATTTCTGTATTCCCATTGTACTATTTTCATGCGCTAAATTGAGAATGCATATAAAAACGGGCGAATTGAAATGCATTTCTTGAGACATGTGATTCATGGGAGTCACTATGAACAAGGTATTATGTTGTGCAAACACTACATAAAGGAACCAAGGCTGAGATTCAAACCTTTGATATTAGGTTTGTGCCACACACATTTTAATGTCAACAAATTAAGGTGCTGCTATAACTTTTCATTTTATGTCGTTGGCTGCGTGGTGAGTATGTTATGCTTCATACTCATCAAATGAGTATTATAAAGCCATCTGTATTTATATATTCCTTTTACAAGCACTTGTTCTGTTAAAACATATATTAAGTCGGCACTCATGATGGGAGGAAAAGAAAAACAATGAGCAGTCACTTACTTCATCTGCTTCACAATGGTGCTCTTCCCTGACTCTCCAGCACCTGCAGAGAGAACAAAAACAGGCAGAGGTTAAAAATACGCTCCTGTTAGCCGAAAAATGTAAACAGGCAGCCAAGCAAGCTGTCTCACATCTGGACCTCTGTCTTACTCCCCTCCCTTTACCTCACAGCTTTGTCTTCAGCTCTGCAAAATATCCCATCTCTCATTTTTATCCTGGACCTGTCTCCTGTTCTTCCTCACTGTATACCTCCATGCATTCTGCTGCTTTAGCTATCAGTCAGGCAGTTCTATTTGCAGTCCGAATACAGACGGAAATGCGAGGTCTCTTAATTTCACAGCAGAAAAATCCCAGCCACTCTCAGCATTCAAAGGAACAAAAAACACCTGCCATCTTATTCTTTTCTTTTTCTTTTCAAGACGAGTCACTTTATCATGGTTAACATTTTAATGGAAACGTCTTGCACCGACAGGATATGGGCTTTTCTTATCCTCTGCTATGTTTATTCTCACAGCCTGAGGCAACCAGAGAGAGCTCATCTGCCACAAGGAATCTAACACTACACACACAGACACACACACACACACACACCCAGGGGCGCCTGTCAGTGCACTCTCTACTCGTACTCGCCTGGGGTGAAGTCTTTCTGGGATGACCCTCAAAATACACTACTATGCAGCACACAGCACAGCATGCAGCACACACATGCACAGAGCAGCCCCTGGGTAGGAATGGGCCAAGATATTTTCCATAGACAGCTGTCAGCTCCTGCTCTTCTATATGGTATATGAGTCCAAACTGGCTAACAGATCAGCTTGCATCGAAAGACAATTTTAACAAACCTCCAAAGTTTTGGAATAAATATGTTTCACTTAGGTTGACGCAGCAAAACAAAAAGAATACAGTGTGGGAAAAAAAAGATTTTCTGTTAAACATTAGGCTCATGATGATGAAGTTCCACCTCTTCCAACCAAGGAATTTACAAATCACAGCATGATGAAGCGCTCATCCTGCTGTACAGTCTGTAGGCCATATTGTTAAGCCACAAGAAAAAAGAAATGTTCTTTCTGGCTCAGTAAGTGTGAAGAGAAAACTGTAAACAGACTCCCCATTTAAGAAATGGGACATAACTAAGATGCAGGCTGATCCAATTGAAATGTGTGATGTGCACTCCATTTAAATGTAGTCATTTTGTCAGAATGTAGACGGTACACTTAGCCATGAATAAAATGTATGTGGCTTCTTCTTGTTCCTGTTCTAAAACTCCTCACACAAACTCTGTACAACTGCATCTTTACAACTATCTCTTTATGTTTAAACATTAACAAAGACCAGCAAACTGAGAATTTATGTTTTTCAATGATCAACATGAGGAGAAAAACAGTAAACGACCAAAATCCTAGTTTGTCCCTGGAGCCTGTATGGTTCAGCTGCAGACAGTGAGTCTGGAGTCAAAGTGGCAGATCATACTTTGTAGACCTGTGAGTTCATGAATCTGGCTGACCACGGCTGAGGTAACAGGCCGTCCTCTTACCACATGCACACGCACGCGCACACACACACACACACACACACACACACACACACACACACACACACACACATACAGAGTCCTAAAAGTAGTAAACATACCCTTTGGAGTTTGTCCACTGAACCTGAAGCTCCTAACAATTACAAGTGAGCAGTGGTGTTTGGCACATATTTCAATGACACTGCTGCTTTGATAAACAAATAGCTTGCAGCTTTCTTTACTCTACAGTGCAAATGCACTTTACCTCCTGGCAGAAAGTACATATTCCCAGTTATTCAAGCACGTGCATGTGGAATTTGTCTGATATTCACATAATTTAACATTCAAAATACAGTTTACACATTTTTTGTTCCTGTTTGTTCCGTGCACAAAAGCAGGAATTCAGAGGCAGAATATTTGTATTTATAATGCCGACAGCTGGACTGATACCACTGATCCTGTCACTTACACACAGCACACTTTGTCTGATCTGTGGCTAAAGCTGCATTATCACCATACCTCGCTTGGACTATGAAGGCTCAAAACTGCAGCTGCATGACCGCAGACAAACACATGTGCACTGTCATACACATACACACATAGACTATGACCAGATGCCACATCAACATGAGTACTTTCCAAAGATTGTTTGGAAAACATTTTATGACTCAGCACTGACCAGAGTGTCTCTGCAGTAAGCTGTAACTGGTAGCCTTGGCGACTGAATACACCATGGTCATCATCAGACCTATAGTGACAAACCAAGTTACCTCAGAGGTAGAGTGGTTTATTCAGCACAAACAGTCCACAATAAAATCATCTAAAACTGATCTGAACTCATATGAAAACTGAAGCTAACAATGAAAGACACACTAATGAATTCAACCATATGACAAATGCAATGAGAAATCACACTGCTTGTGCACAGCAGCAAATGAAGAAAAGTTGAGTTTGCGGGAGAATAAACACTGCCCACTGCCTAGCAACTGGGCAACATGTACAACAGTTGCGGGCATATCTGACTCATGGTAGAAAATTAGGAGGAAAAAAAAAACACAAGAGAGGGAAAAAAACAGAGGACCACCAGTGTAGTCACCAAATTTGTATAAATAGGATCAGGTAGATTCAGTACGACTGTCAAAACTAACTTTCTTGCACAAAAATATGTCAAAAACGCGAGAGTAAACCCATGCGTAAATCAACTGCTTGCATGTTTCTCGAGACGAAGGGAGTGTTAGTATGAGGATATGTAGTAGGAGAAAAAGCACCCGGGAATTTGTAAATCTTTCAGCAAGACTCAGGAAATTGCCTGATTACTGATGGGTTATAATGTGACTGGCAGAACCAACATGGGGATGGTGCCAGGTGAACCAGTGCCAGGGAGTCCACAGGATTTACTGGGGTCCAGCTGCAGCAGGATGGAGCTGAGGCCCGACCCATGATGGGCAGACTGCGATCCCAGATGGGGGGTGTCATGAACAGTGACAAATTTAGGTCAGATGACAGTGACACAGAGTGACTGAGGTCCTTTTTGGATGCATCCCCTTCACAAATTACATCGGCACATATAAACAGAAACATGAATAGCTCCCAGGTGGACGTGTTTGGAAAACCTCCAGAGGAAGCTTCCCCAGAGGCATCCGAACCAGATGTCCATACCACCTCAACTGGCTCCTTTCGACGTGAAGGAGCAGCGGCTCTACTCCGAGCTCCCTCCGGATGTCTGAGCTCCTCACCCTATCTCTAAAGCTGAGCCCGGCCACCCTGCGGAGGAAGCTCATTTCGACCTTGTATCCGCGATCTCGTTCTTTCAGTCACAACCCAAAGCTCATGACCATAGATGAGGGTTGGGACGTAGATGGCCTTGCGGCTCAGCTCTCTCTTCACCACGACGGTCCGGTACAGGGCCCGCATTACTGCTGACCCCGGGGCAGACCCAGAGGACCCAGAACCCGCTGGATCATATCTCTCGGCTGGCCTGGGAGTGCCTCGGGATCCCCCGGGCAGAGCTAGAAAGCGTCGCCGGGGGGAGGGAAGTCTGGAACAACCTGCTCCACCTGCTGCCCCTGCGACCAAACCCCGGATAAGCGGAAGACAATGGATGGATGGATGGATGGATGAATAGCTTTAATCAAGTCCCAGGTGGCTGCAAACTAAAGAACCTGCACCGCTGGCAAAAAGGCAGAGAATACATTGATCCCTTTGGGTCATATAATATTATTAAAAAAACAGAAGTGTCTTTTCTCCAGGGTCTCTGGTGGCTTCATTAATTTAATTGTTGGAGAGCTGATGAAGAAAATTACTCTTGTTTGTATTTATAGGCAACAAGGGACCCTTTGATTTTGTGTTGTGTACTTCAACAGGACCCAAATGAATATACCTGTAATTGGGTGACTCCCCTTGTTTGCAGATGAGGAGGTAGCTGCTTAGGGACACCTGGGAATGAAATATAGTTCTCATTGTTCTCATTCCCAGAGGAAATCTGTTTGCGCCCACTGTGCAGACAGGTAGTTCCTGGGTACAGTTATCCTGCGTAAGTGTTAAGCTCCAACTTAAGAAGTTCAGTAGCAGGCCAACTAGGTGTGAACATCATGGCCACAGAAGGCAGATACTGTTAAGTGTTACACTGCTTGCTGAACTCCACCTCACTAACACAGACAAATGACTTTCTTTAGTGATACTTGTTGTATCAGCTGCCTTTGAGACACAAAAGCCACATTTGTCTTGGCAGGGGGAAGACATACCACCTGTCACTGTCCAAAACTTTTGTCAAGTAATTGATTGGCCTTCAGGTGTCATTTGCTCCACGCTGGGTAGAAATTCTGAAGGATGGCTTACTGCTCAAACTTAGAATACAAGAGCATTTTTTATGTGGAAATGAGAACTGAGAGAAGAACCGACAAATCTCTGCCTACTCCCACATTTGACCAGTGATGAGACATGACGAGAGGAGTAAGTGTGCCAGCCAGCTCTTCTGTGAGAATTCCTGGCATGCCCTCGCCGTCTCCAGAGTTTTGTTATTCAGTGAAGCAAGATGAAACGGACAAGTCCAGACTTAAAAAAAGAAAAAAACGAAGAAAAGAAATGTACTTCCCACTGTTTTGTGTCAAGACTCAGGATCAGCTTCTTAAAACCATCAATGTATTTATTTATCTTGCTGCAACGCCTCGTCATCAGCATCTTGCAGCCAGAGCTTCATCAACTTTAAAGTTTAACTGTTTCAAAGATCTGCCTCCCATGGCTTTAGAACTTTGCTATGTGTGTGAATAGATGTGCATGTGTTTGGAGCAAGTGTGACCTATCCTGGTGGGACTAGGAGAAGGACACAAAGGCAGCAGTGTAGGCCCCTGCTAGCTGAGAACACAGGCCCGCTGTTGATGTTTAGGCCTGGACCATTCCAATCAGAGCTACAGCTCACACTAGTTACTCACACTGCTCCGCCTCCTTTCAGTCAGCATGACAACTGCCTTCACCAGCCACAGCCAATCTCTTTAAGGGCATTAGCAAGAGAAAATGCTTTAGGGAACATGAGT